CACATGACTTTCAACAAATTTGGTAAATTCAATGCAAAAACTACATTATTTTTTTAAAACACATTTAATGCAACTGATCACATACACGAGTACATTTGTAATTTTGATAAATAGTTTTGAAATATGAGACAATCTAAAACATAGTTTAAAATCAGAATATAATACATTGTTGATTAATTGTGATATTGGTTGCTAAATAACATAGAAACTTTAGATTTGTTGTGCCTTAATTTCAATAGTATGCGACAGCATTAAATTTAGTAAAACACCATTTTCAATAATTTGACCAAAAAAACCGAAGTTTACTTTGCTTTTATCTCAACTTTTGCATATTATTCTATTCTCTGTATTTTAATGTTGGATCATATCTACAAGCAGCTGTATTATTGGCTGAGATTTATTTTTGAGATAAGTTAGATAAGAAAGAAAAACAATATTATGTAACAAAATTTGATTCAAACGTATAGAGAATGTATTTGATATAGCATGATTACGATAAACCTGGATCCTCATTTAATTAGTTATAATTGTAAGGGGTTTATTTCAGGGTGTTGACTCATCTAGATATATATTATAAATGCGGAAGTTTGTGAGGATGTTTGGGAGTCTTTCACGCAAAAACAACTGAATGGATTTTAATGAAACTTTACAGTAATATAGCTTATACATCAGAATAACACATAGGCTATAATTTATAAAGATATTATGAGAAGTGCCCAAAATATAACGATATTTGTCAAGTAAGTGGGAAAAAATTCTGCCATCTGCAAGCAATTCTGGCTTGCACTACAAAAAAGCCCACATCAGTATATATCTATCTTTTGTTTGTGAAAGAACTCTTTTGGTTTTGGCTACGCAAGGCGCTCGCTTCTAATTAATTCCTGTAAACAGCATAATCCCTAATTTTTTTATTTCAGAATCAAACTAAGTTTTGAAGGGAGAGGTTGTTATAAATGTTGTTATTGGATGTTTTTTTAATGATTTTATTATGCACATTTGGTAGTAAGAAATTGATCTTTTTTCAAAATAAATACTTTTATTGCTTCTGGTACTTACATTAGATAAACTTTGTCTTTCACACTACATCCTTTCGACATATTTCCATAGTTTTTTTTTATGGTTAGTAGTTAATTAGAACGCTATAATTTTAATTGAATAGGCGAATATTGCATTTTTAAGTATAAAAATAATTATAACTACTGTAATGTATTATTTTGGAGTGAGTTAATATTAACGTCGCACTGTTCAGCTACACGAGGGCTTTTGGCAACGGACCACGTAATTTTGAACCATGGTCAAGTGACGTGGATGACACCGGAGCTGGCACCTCTTTCTCCTAACTACCACACCACGCCAACTTAGAAGGAATATTCTACCAATACTTAGCAGGAATATTTTTGTAATTCACTCTTCCAAGATATATGGCAGCACGGGTGTTATGATGAGTATTTTAGCGGGGAAGGCGAACAGTTTTGCAGCAGACATGCATTTTCAGCGGATTGCAAAGATTATTATTTTTGTCCCGAAAAAATAGTTTATGTCAAAATTTAAGTGTCTTATGTTTTTGTATGTTCATGAAGACTTAAGAAAACGATTTGACTATTTATTTTAAGTGAACGGTGCATATAATTAATTATACAGTGGAATATCTTTAATTAATTTATTATCTCTAACAGATTAAATTTCCCAAAGTGGAGTATTTTGTTAATGTATATCCCTTAATTTTCAATGTAGTTATCCCAAAAAAAATATTGCTTGAAAAAACTGCAGTAAATCATAATGCGGTAGTTAAAGCATTAAAGTGCATGACGTCCCTACACGGCGGGTCTTACAAAGCTCAAGCTATGAAAGTAGCTAGACATTTGACTATCGTTATCATTTCGTTGTGTTTTTCATTGAATCTCCATTATAGCCATTATAATTTAAGAAACGGCGTTGCTTGAGAATATTACAATTTTAACATAAAATAAATACAACAGAAAGTAATATTAATGTATTACACTTTCAGATATAAATTATTTACACTATTTTAAGCGTTCATTACGCAACACTTTTAACAATGTGTTACTTTTGCTGAGCAGAGATCAGCTTAGGGAGGTATTTTCAAAAATCGACCCTCAAGAGTGTTACGGGGAATTATATATATAAAAAAAATCCTTTTTATCAGCTATTAGATCTACATACTTAAAATTTAACAAAGGTGTTTTTTGTTTGTTTGTTTAGCTGAGATATGCAAAAAGCTTTTTTTGTTTAATTTGCAATTCACGTAAAATTAACTCATTAAAAACTTCTTTATCCTTCAATCTGTGTTGTTTAATTTTTCAGTTCACCCGTGCGAAGAACGGGTATACCAGCTAGTAATAAAATAAATTCTCATCGGAAAACTTGATCAGTTCAAACTTTATAAGAAAAAAAAAATAAAAACAAATATTTCTTTATAGTCTTGACTTTCTCTATAGCCTGTGTGACGTATATTCCATAACACTACGAATAACCGAATGCCTCCCTCCCTCTGATTTTCGGTAGAAATTTAGGGGCCATAAAAGAGATGGACATCTGCTTCGCTTTGCTTTTAGGGGGAAGGGACATAACAAGAGACGGCCAACGCATTCTTGAGGACGTTCCGACCCCACCCATTTCCTTTAGACTGTATATGCCAAAATTTTTATTTCCTAAGATCCGAAAAATAACTATAACGCTAATCAACCTTAAAGGCAATTCAGTTTCTTTATTTTCTTACGAATTAGTTTAGAAAAATTTACATTTCCTTTTTAAACTTCATAGATATCAATCCTAATTTGTGATATTCTAAAGTAATATTATTTTTAATTTTTCATGTCTGTAATATTTGTTTATGATTACATTTAAATCAGCTAATATATCTCCTTTTCATTTTTTAATCGATGTAATTTCTTTGCTCAAACGTGAATGGGATTTTTTAAGCGATATTTTTTAAAAATTAGCTTATTTTTATATACATAAAAAACTGAGGGAAAATATTTGAAATTATAGTATGATCATGGAATGTACATTGAAAAAACTATTTAAGTTTTCAATAAACAACAAGTTTTATTATTAACTGTAGTAATAAATTTTTTTTGGTGGGGCGGGTGAGTTTGTACGGAATTAGTGATTTCTAATATTCAATAACGCATGCTTTTTTGCTTGGATTATTTCGAATGCGAACGTTATTTCTTGGCATTGAGTCATCTTAATACAACCTAATTGGAAAACAAAAGAGATGCTGGCATTGAGTTTCAGGCTTTTAAAAATTAAAATTTGTTGGATTTAAGGAAATTTGTTTTAAGATGCAAAAATTTCTTTATATGACAAAGAAAGAAATTATAACTGATAATACACACTTTACTTATTCTTAAGATTTTAAAGACTGTGTAAATATTTACCACTTTGTAATAGAAAAAGGTAAAAGTAAGAGAAATTTTTTATATAAGTATTAACATTGATTTTGATGCTATAAAATGTAGTCAAAACTTTATAAATTGTATAGATGACATACAGATTTTGAACAAAATGTTAGTTTTCAAACTCGTTGAATCTCACTCAAAATAAAACATTTCAAAGATGTTACAATGTTGATAAAAGTATAAGCTGATCACACATACACACAGAAAATATTATATTATTTTAGGAATAATATTGAAGCTGAGTAGTAGTGCATCACGCTTCCACACCACAGGTGTGAGTTTAAAACCCCGGGCTGGGCAAGGGTGACTCAGCCTTTCATCCTTTCAGTGGGTCGATAAATGAGTGTCATGCTTGCTTTGGAACTAAACACTGGGAGTTTCGCGTCATATTGACCACATGACCGAAGCATCTGCTCACGCAAATCAGCGTCCAAGGTCACGTATACTGAGATGGGCACAGCAGGTCTTGGCTCTCATGGGGTGTTGCGACACTGAGTTAAGGAATAATATTTGATTACAAAATATAAACGATCAAATTAGAAAAAGCAGTTGAAAGTACAGAATTTAATGTACAAAGAACACATATTAAGGAATAAACATTTTTTCCCCTTTAGTATGAGCAAATGATTATAATGCAAACAGATACCATTATTATATAATAAATTATTAGCTTTATATAGAGATATTCTAAAATCGTTTATATAGAATTGCAAATCGATGAAAATCTCAATAATTGGAAGAGAGAGTGACAATTAATGTCGCTCTGTTCAGCTACACGAGGACTTTTGGCGACGGGCCTCGTAATTTTGAACCATGATCAAGTGACGAGGATGACACCTGAGCTGGCACCCCTGTCTTAACTTCCACACAACACCAATGAGAAGACGTTTGAGCCTTAATAGATTTAACGTGCAACAATACTTCTACATGACGACTGATAACTAGATGATAAATATCGAATATTCTTTTATTTTTGGAATCTATAATCACATTTAGTTTCTTTTCTGGTTGAGAACTCTCTACCAATTATTCATTAAGAAAAAAAGTTATTCAAAAATGTAGTAGTCTGAGTATTTTGTTCCAATACATTTTTTTTTCTTTAACCAGCTTACCCATTTAAATTCTAAAAAAAAATTGGTGTTTTTGGGTAAAAAAAAAATTTCTGATATAAAATCTGAATCCCCACGTAACAACTCAACATTCGAATCATGTGTTAAATTGAAAATCACAGACTATACCCCTGATATTGCGTCATTAAGTATAGCTTTAAAAGGACGAAATTCTCATTAAAATCTTAATTTTTTATTTAACTATATTGAAGGAATGCTTATATTTTATGTTGTTTATATCTTATTTTTTCCCTACTACTAGTTCACTGTTTTTCGATCGTTAATAAAATACTTTCTATTCATCCATTCAAGTTCAAATACATCTTTTTAAACTAGCAGTGGATGACACTTGACGTTTATACCGTTTTTTTCAAATATTAATTCATTAATTAAATTTAAAAAATGAATAAAAAGTAACAAAAATAATAGTCCAACAGCATACATAGAAAGAAAAATCGTTCGTTGTGTCCCTGTTGAACAGTGAATAGCCCATTGGATTTTTAATCCAAAGGTCGGGGGTTCGAATCCCTCCAGGGATGGCCTAATTTCTGAGAATGTTATTATTTTTTTTACAATACTATTTTATCGGAATAATTAAATTTAAGTAATGAATGCTCTCTCTAAAAATAATTAATTACATGTGGGAACTAAGCAATGCATATTAAAAATATTTATGATATTGATCCCGTTTCCACATCACCATGAGGTAGGAATCTCGATGCGTTTTTTTATAGAGGTATCGCCAGGAGCCATAATCCTCTTCATCGCAATCTTTTACTTTATAGAACAATCCGGACAAAGCCAATTTTTAATTTTTGACCCATTCTTAAAATTTACGCATTTCCAATGGTATCAGTAACTGCAATCATCACACTGAACCATATTTTTTAAAGTCGTTGCACTTTCACAATTATTGCAACGCCAAAAGTTTTGTTTTAATGTAATTATTTTTTCTACTTTTTCCTAAGCTTGTGTAGTAAATAATTCTTGTACAGATGTCAAATCATGATTTATAATAGAATCCGTAATTTCATTATCAGGTTTTAAATCCTGTACACTAAAAAGACCTTTATTTTTGAAAGTAGAATCTGAAACATATATTTTTATTTAAAATATATTTTGAAACATTTTGTTGTGTTGGGTGCTTAGAATAAAATATTTATGATTTTCTAATCTCTTTTTAGCTGGTTTTACGTTTGAATCTTTTAATTCTTCAGTTACCTGGGATTGTAAGCAATAAGCCTGATGATCAGACTCATGAATGGTTACATCATCTATTAAAGCTTTTCGAATGTTATTACTTTCCTCAAATGAGGGTTTTGAAAGGTGTGAAGAAATTTTTCTTTCTTTCCTAGTAGAAAAAAAAGGAGCGTTGCCGTGTTACATTTTTGTTGTTTCCTGAGTTTGGAGGGGGTAAAACCATTTCAGAATCTTCTATTTGCAAAAAATTGCTAATATTTTTCAGCATTTTATTTGCTTCCAACATTTTTTCTTTGTGTTTTATTGGATCTAAGTTGGAAAATTGACTTTTTATTTCGTCAAGCAGTTTAAAAGTAGATTGCGATAAATCTGTCATTGAAGTTTCTGTAATCCTAGGATTTAAAAGTATTTTATGAACGATAGCAATTTCTTTCGAAACGCTAGCTGAGTTATCGTTTGGTTTTTTTTAAACGTTTTGCGTGCGGCAAACTAAATGTGCATGCTTGCATATAAGGTCGTTTAGTACATTATCCAGGCAAGAGCATTTTATTTCGTGAATGCATATTGAGCACTTACTGCATCTCAAATGGCATTTGACTGCAGATTCGGATTCAGCAATTTCTACATTATGATCTGATGTGCTCCCTTTTACAATAAAAGAGTTGTTGGATTCTTTTTGAATTAAGGAAGCATCCAGATTTAAACTTTTTATGTGCCTCAATTCAATTGATTTTTTTTTTGAGAAGTTATCTTCCCACGTTCTAACTTAATGATGCGCTTACAACCTTTGTCCTTGACAAATTCCATAAGCTTGTAAATACAAAAGTTCAAACGCTTATTAACTTTGCCAGAAAGATAATTGTATTTAAAATCCTTGTGGAAGGACTCCAAATGGTTATTTGTTCGGATTTTGCAAGCATTTCTAAAACACATGGCAATTTCCTTTTCTCTGTTATTATAGTTATTTAAAAAATAATTATAAAATTTGTCTGTATCTGTATCTTCTTTTAAATTGTTTAAGAACTTTACGAACATTTTCCTGAATATTTGCTCGTTTGTTTCAGAAAATAATATTGTAATAGCCTTATACACTTCGCATGCTTTCAGTTTGTTTTTAATTAATGCTTCGATTTTACTCCTGATTGATTTATCAAAATGAAAATAACACAATATTTTTTGAACGGGGAAATCAAAAACATCGGACCAAGCATTATAGAAAGCAGGTGCATCATCGCTCATAAAGAAATTGGAGGTGATGCTGGTATCTGTTATTTTTAATTAATAGAAATTTTTTTCTTAAGACTGTAAAGTCTTCCCTTTTTGATATGCACCAAGCTACAGGAAACCCTTCACCAAAATCATCCACCACTAGCACAGTTATTAATTAAAAATTGTAACTGTTGGATCCATGTGTAGAATCAACACAAACGATTTCTTCTCCGAACTTTTTCAACATTTCTTTTTGGAGGGGATGCTGTAAAGCTAGAAAGAAATCTTCATTATTTATAACCCTTCATACTCAGATAATATAGGCATCCTTGAAATTTACATCCTAAAATGGGATTATCTGTGCCAAACTCTGCCATCTCCTCCAGCATTAGCCTGACACTTGTGGCATCATCAGCATGCCGTTGATTTGTCAGGTCAAAACTTCTCTTTATATTCTTTATATCTTGCCTAGTGGTGAGATGAATTCTGGATAGATTTTCTCTAGACAACATGTCATTCCTGATGTTTTCCAGAATTACAGAAACCTCAATTTTTTTTTCTAAAGAAAATGCAATGTGTTTTTTTTTCTTCGCCTGTTAGTCTCATAAAAGGCAAGCAATCATCGTGTCCATAATGTGTAGAGCACATTTTTAAAGTTACTACACCAGTTTCTCTTAAAATTAATTTCATTTCCGCTGTGCATAGATTATTAGTTTTTATGCTTTTATAAACATTTCTAATACCCTTTGATCTGGAACAGTGCTTCCCACTTCTGAAGCAATTAAAATAAATCACTTTTCCAGATCGAACCTTCCTGCCTCCGAAATGTTTTACAAAATTAACTTGTTCCTCCTTTTCGAAATTTTTTTTCCATATTTCAAATTCGGAAAAGTTACTAAATTCCTTGTGTTCTAACAGGAATTCAAAATCATGCATTTCCCTCAAATGAAGCCTCAATTCATGCCGGTTTTTTAAAAAATGCGTACATCCTTCTTCTAAACATGAATAACCGTTTCCATAGCTGGTACCTAAAATATTAAAAGCTAAATTAATAAATAAACATTCCCTGCGCGATCTAATAATTCAAAATATTATTTCTTCATAATGCAATTGATATTTTTCCTGTAAGAAATATTGAAAAACAATGCAGTTCTTAATTTCAAATTTTTCAGAGATTTCTTGTTAAAAAGAAATTAAAATATTACCTTCTAATAGCTAATTTAAGCTTATTAAAATACTTTGAAATCCCTTTATCTCGAATAGTCCAATTTTTTGTTTCATTTTCAATAACACGCAAACTTTACTCAACAAATTTTAAAATAGTTTTCACTAATAATGCATAGGGTGAATCAAGCGTAACGTTAACTGAAAAAAAGTGTCAACAAAAAGTACATATCAAGACAGACACTTACTGGCTTCGATTAGGTCATTGCTGTTCCCCTCTATTCTGCATTCGGACTCCACTTCGGTCAAATCAACTGTAAAATAAAAGACATTCTCAATGAGAAAAAAAAACATAATTCCATCTATAAAATCTAACGTTACATTGGTGGTTCAGCTTGAATGAATCTAGTTTATCAATGTTCTAATTCTTATCTATTCTAATCTAGTAAGTCTAAAATGTTAACAATAAAACCACGTTTTCGTCAAAATGCAAACATAATCCTAATAAAGTATTAGTTGAATTAAATATTTGGCTAATTAATTGTAAAATCAAAATTAACACAGTATTTAATTTACTTTGTGGAAAATGTTTTCCAAAACCAACACAGAAAACAGCATTTAAATATGGTGGAAGTTTTTACATCACTAAAAATATCAAACATAAATATATATAAAGGATTTTACAACCTTCAACAACATAAAAAGCATAAAAGAAAATAATGTTTACCTAAGAATAAATTTCTCAATAAAAAAACTAGCAAATCTTGAATGTGAAATGAACTGATAACATATATTTTAACAAAATTAAAGAAAAAGAAAAAAAAAAATTAATTCTTGTCTATTGTATGCCTCCATGTATACTTTATCAAAAGAAAGTTTTGGATTAGTCACTTACTTTTTGCCTGTACATCAACTTTATGTACCAGTTTCATATGTCGTTGCATATTAAACTTCTTTGTAAAGGATTTTTCGCAGTATACGCAAATAAAACCTTTAGGATCGTTAACACGATGAACAGCCGTTAAATGATTTCTTAAGTCTGACGTGGTCTGAAAAGGATTTGAGCACATGTTACAAATAACAGAATTTAGAAACATTTTTTTTTCCTTATTTCGAAAGAAAAAAATTTTACGTTATTAAAAGTGAGAAAATGGTTTAAAAACGCCTCTGAAAACACCGAAACAAGCAATGTTTAAAAATGTTAAAATTGAAAATAAAATTTCAGAAAAAATTTAGTATATAATCCCCGTGAAGTTTTTCAACTATATATAGTAATCCTAGAAATGACGTCATCTGAAATTATGGGAAGACATGGCAAATAAGGATGGGACCAAAGATATTAACAGATTTGCTAAGAGAGAGAAAAAAACAGCCAATTGCATTCTTATCAAGATCTACAGTAACACCCCCAATCTGAAGAAAAATACGGAAAATCCCCCCTTCTTCCCCCTTGAGACCACTCATCTCTTAGTCACTTCCCTATTTTCTGAAAAATTTCTGCTGATAAAGTAAAATATATATATAAAAAATAATAATATAAAAAAATAAATTAAAGTTCTGCTCCCCAAGTAAACACGGGTGGCCGCGGTAGCCGAGTGGTATAGGTATCGGACTGTGGCTTGCTTTGTCACGGGTTCGAGCCCAGTACCACTAAAGACCCGCCGTGTAGGGCAGCGATGCACGTTAAATCTGTCGAGAGCTGAAACGTCCTCCCGTTGGTGTGGTGTGGTAGTTAGGAGAGGGGGTGCCAGCTCAGGTGTCGTCCACGTCACTTGACCATGGTTCAAAATTACGTGGTCCGCCGCCAAAAGCCCTCGTGTAGCTGAACAGTGCGACGTTAATATTCAATCAATCAATCAATCAACCAAGTAAACACGGCTGACGATGAATTTATTGTTAAATATTATTTACTTTGATTAAAGACTTCAGGAACACAAATGACTAAAACACTGGAAATATTTTTAAA